GATATTTGATGAAATTTTTGTTTCTTCTGGGTTTACAAATATTTTGAATGTGTAGTTTTGATGTTAGCAAAAGGAAAGCATAGAAAAAAATTTGGAAGGAAAGGATTGTTCTGAGCTTAAACTGATTATACACATGCACTGAACTTTTTGCTTCAACTGTTACTTTAGTTGTAATTTTGGATCTATAGTGTTGGTCGTGGATTCTAAATGAACTCCTAAACTTCAGCTCTTACATTTACCGAAAGTGCAAGTCTTTGATGATGAGCCTCTAGGCTCTAAGTCGTGTTGCTCTCTAATTAGCATAAATGGGAAGTGGTTTTAACAGATTAGCATGTGAATGATGAATATAATATAAAACATTATGCTGCCAGAAAATTCTCCATTGCCAAAACAGAGGAGGTAAGGATTTATGAAATTCAAATTCTAAAAAATACTTACTATTTCTTATAGATATTATAGGTACTTCAAAATTTCAGTCTTTTCCAGAGGATACCAAAAGTTATAAGAAAAATGAACCTAAGATAGAGGAGGAACAGTCTCATAAAATTTGAATCTTTGCACTACTTGGTGGAACAAACAGATAGAGCAAAACAGTTCTAACAAAGTGGTAGATTTTCTCAACACAAGAATTGTTTTCTACGTAACCTTAAAGGCAAAACAAACCATTATCACTTGAAAACCAACGCTACAGGAAATTGGATTTGGCAGGCTAAATTATTATTGGTAGTAGACATTTTGTTCCTGCTAACACTGGTAAAGTTTTCCTCTTAGGTAACAATTTCTTTGCTAACGTATTACTATATAAGATTAGAGATGAAGTTAAGGGATCATTGCCTTTGTCAATTGCTAATTAGAGTATTGCCAGAACAACCAAAGACTGAAGCAACTGTTGCAACACAAACTTGATCTCTGCTCTGAAACCTCCATAATTAAATGAGAGTATCTTATCATTTGTTGTCTCTCTTAAACAAGACACGGCAGGAAAAAGTGATGCATCTATCTCCCTATTATACCTAAAGGTCAACTTCTCAAGGTTAGCCAGTTTTAGGTCATTCAAAGGTAATTAAATCTTGTCCAAATCTGCATAGTTAACAAATCCCATCAATGTGCAGACTATATTTTGATTTAGAGCTTTTCAATATATGTGTCAGGTCAAGTTAAGGCATTTACGTTGAAACAAACGGCTAAGAATCATTTTCCCATTAAAATGTGCAGATATAATGTTTAACACAACTGAATGAAAAATGTTAATCTACTATTCTATCGTGATATTGCTTTCACAAGTTTCTTTACATTCTCTGATTATCTAATACAATATCCTTCTTATTTTACAATCCAAATTTGTTGACCTAATTACATATGTTTCCTGTTATAGTTGTGTCGATGGATAAAAATCCCTCCAGCGTCATCCTCACAAGAAAAGGCACGCCAATATTCAATGGATAGAGCCTCTATTATTAATAATAGGCGACGCAGTATATATAAACAACTCTCATCGGATAAAAAAGAAGCACTTCTTCTTCAACGACGGACAAGATATCAACAATTGAGGAACAAAAATCTCCTCAGTGGTTCTCCCACTCCACTACCTACTGTTCAGCTTCAATTCACTGGACAAAAAGCTGTTGCTATTACAGATATACCGCCTCACCCTGAAACAGGTTTGCTGATATACTGCATAACTGCATAATACTTTATCTCTGACTAAGTGTAGTTATGACTTACTGATGGTTATAAAACCATTGTTCGTGCTGTAGGCGACACCTCTCGCGTTGATACTTCTGGAGTTGTATCGGGTAAAGCAAAAGATATGATTGATTGCCTATCCATCTTTGAAGTAGGTACGTCACAGTAAAATGCTGTTGATATTCACTTTTCTGGAGAATTTTTTTTTAATGTCCCCATTACAACTGTTTCTACAATAGGCTCGATGTCGGCTGCACCCGTTAAACAACACAGCCCAATTGCAACCACTGTGACTACCAAAGGTTTGTCTATTCCCTTTTCCTATTTACACAAAAGTCAGGATTTAAGAGAAATCTTATTCTCTTTTCATTCAAATCATCTTGAATTTAGGTTCTGCATCTCTTGCCCATCAACAATATGATCCAAAGGCAATCACTGACAAAAACAACGGTTCGTCTCTCTAAAAACTTATAGTTATCTTGCTTGCTTAGATGTTCCTCCAGCTTAGCTCTTCTTGTAGCTTATACCCCACTCCCTTGCAATCAATTTACACAGGTAATAGGTTAAGAAGTATATATTGTTGCAATATTAAACAACTCCCCAACAATCCAAGCATTTTAAAGAAAATGCCTTCTTGTGAGTACTGTGCGGCAAAAAGATTTCAGTATGAATCAACAGGATTTTGCTGCAGTAATGGCACCGTTAAATTGGCATCACATGAAATGCCTACAGAATTACTAAATCTGTTGTTAGGAGACACTGCTGAATGCAAACATTTCCATACCTACATTAGAATGTACAATAACATGTTTGCATTTACTTCTCTTGGAGTAAAATATGACAAAGAGCTAGCAAAAAGATACCATGGTATATACACCTTTAGAGTTCAAGGACAAATGTATCATTTCATTGATAATGTATTACCTTCAAATCAACAACCAAGAAATCTACAATTATATATTTATGATGATGATACTGAAATGTTGAATCGTATGGCTTCTTCCAGTAATGCTGATCAATCAGTTGTTCAAAAATTAATGAATATATTAAAGATAAATCCTTACTGTATCTTTCTAAAATCTCTAATGCAAGTTCCGAAAGTACCAAACTTGTATATTGCACTCAACTGTGACTCTACATTAAATCAACAAGTTTATAACCTACCGACAGTCTCAGAAGTGGCGGCAATATGGTTAGACCAACAACCAAACAATAGTAGCTCTACACCACATATTCAAATTTATCCTTGTAGCAACACCAATCAATTAGTCAATTATTACTATGGTTGCTATGATCCTTTACAGTATCCATTGTTATTTCCCTATGGTCAAAATGGTTGGCATTGTGGAATTAAAAGAGTTGAACAGATTTGCAAGAAAAAATATCGATCTCAATGTGAAAATGAACAACTTCCAAGTTTATCAAATATGTGTTCTATTGAGGGACTGCTTGATATAGAAGCTAAAGTACTACAAAAAGGAAAACGAAAAAGAGATGACATCTCTTGTCGTGAATACTATTGTTATAAATTTCAAATGAGACATAATGAAATAAATGGAGTATTACATTCAAGAAGACTTTTTCAACAATACTCAGTTGATGAGTTCATAAAAATTGAAACTCAAAGGCTAGATTTTGTCTCGTGTAATCAGGATTTATTCCGGACTGATCCATTACAAGGGCTTATTGATTTTCATAGACATGGTGACAGAGATGCTTCAAAAGTAGGAAAACAAACATTTCTTCCTGTAAGCTTTACAGGAGGTCCTAGAGATATGCGTCAACGTTATATGGATGCTATTACGTTAGTTCAACATTTTGGAAAACCTGATATATTTTTTACTATGACTTGTAATCCTTCTTGGCCAGAAATAAAAGAATATTTACTGTCAACAGATGAAGCTCAAAATAGACCTGATTTGATTTGCCGAGTATTCAAAGCAAAAGTTGAAGAGCTAAAAACAGATATATTAAAAAAAAACATATTTGGAAAAGTTGTTGCATTTATGTACACTATTGAGTTTCAAAAACGAGGCCTTCCACATGCTCATTTTCTTCTAATTCTTAATGATGATTTCAAATTAATTACTCCCGAATCATATGATCAAGTTGTTTCTGCTGAGCTTCCTGATATAAATGAAAATCCTTACTTACATAAACTTGTTAAAAAACACATCATGCATGGCCCTTGTGGTTATTTAAATCCTACAAATTCATGTATGAAGAAAAAAAGATTTTGCAAATTCAAGTACCCAAAGAATTTTGATGACAAAACAACAAAAGGAAAAAACTCATATGCAATCTATAGAAGAAGAAATACAGGCAAGCATGTCGAGGTTAGAAAACAACTTCTTGACAATTCATGGGTAGTACCTTTTAACCCCTACCTACTATGCAAATTTAATTGACATATCAATGTCGAAGTATGTTCTGATATAAAGGTTGTCAAGTATATCTATAAATATATTTGTAAAGGACACGATAAAATATCCTTTTCTATACGGGAGGATGATACAAATGTTGAAATAGATGAAATAAAAGAATATCAATCTGCTAGATGGGTATCTGCACCAGAAGCTGTATGGCGTTTATTTGCTTTCCCCATTAGCGAAATGAGTCCATCTGTTTATCATCTTCAACTGCACCTCGAAAACCAACAATTTGTTTCTTTTAAAACAGCTGA